AAAACAAGAACTATAGACAAGCAACTCCATAGGGAAAGATTACACCACTACAATTAGTCCAACTACACAGGTCTGAAAGAGTTCAAGTGTGCCTCTTACCACAATTGCATGCGGAGAATGTACTAAGGCCTTAAGTTCATTCAGGTCGTTCTCAGCCTGCAGAAATTGGCATAAGAAAAAAAATAYATAAGAAGGGTGAATTTTGAATTATCTCACAGACACTATAAATTTCAACAGTGGTTAATACAGTCCTATAAGCCCTACGTTACCTTATCCCATTCTCCTTCCATGACATGATTGCGGAATTTGGTAGCTGAAGGATGTTCTAAACGACATCCTGACTCTTGCATGAGGAGATCAACAGTCTGGCTGCAGGAGAGATACAGTGTAAAAAAACCCGACCAGTTTTACCCTCACAAATACACCGCCTGCTATGACAACAGTTTACCATACTTTAAAGTAGCTTTAATTAAACAAGAATACTATGACCAGATTCAGATGCTTGTTCAAAAAGATGATCTCAGTTGCCTGAGACATGTAAACAGCTATCTCTACCTAAAGCAAGTTGTCAAGGAGCTTGAAAGCTTTGCTGAAGTACCATAAAGTATGTGACTTACCAGCCACCACAAGCAGCCATCCCTGCACAGAAGATAAACTTCATGAAGGAAGATACAGGCTAGAAAGCTGTTAGCTACTGGCTGCCATCCCCAGCCCCCTCCCTACCTCCCCCCTAAAAGAACAAGGACAACTACAACATCTGGCACAGGCCTAATTTTTTTTCTTCATCACTTCTTAAAAGACTGGCTCCTTAAAAAAAAATAAACAAACTCAGGAACCTGTAGCCCTCCCCTTTTATACTAAAAATAGCTTATTTACTGTGGTGTCGTCYATGAATAGTCACGAGTTGTCTGCTGCTGTAAACTTGCCTCTTGTGTCAGAGGCAATTTATTTTATGGAATATGTGCTTTATAGTTGACCCATTCTGCAGTGTTTTGAAAACTTCTTTTGTGGTAGCTACATAAGCACTTYACAGGACTTCTCTAGCCTCCTTCCAAAATTATGACATGCTAGCTGGCTTTAGCTTTACTCATAAAGTATTATGATTAAATACTTAAGACTTCCCCTATTCCACAGGGAAATTATTTTCTCTATTCTGATTTTAAGAAAGGACCCATATTCATTTCTTGTTTATGAGTTAGATTATTAGCAAAAACACGTGTCCAGCACATATCTAGAGAGGCCTTCACCGTTTAGAGGGCCAAAGGTTTCCAGAGTGAAACCGAACAGCTTGTTTAAGTGGCAGTTTACTTTGTGTCGCTTCCTGCGAGCTGACAAGCCAAATCTTGGAGCTCATCTGCGAAAAGTCGCCCCCCCACGCCCAGCTGCGGGCTCCATTATGTTTACCCGATAACTTCTTCCCCGCTAACACATTTATATTGATCTACCCTTATCGGTGTGCAACTCGACTTCCATATTGCCATCCCTGGCAGGGGAAGCTCCTGTTTCGGTCCCTTCACTAGACACCAGCACAGGCTTGGAAAACATATCTCCGGCTCCATTTTTCTGGGAGCGGGCCTGCCCCACCGCTCTGCCTCGCACCTGGCATTGCTCTGCCCTCGCTGGAGACCACCAGGCTGCGACCGGGCAGTTTTGGCCATCCACCCCCACCGCCCGCCGGGGGTCCATTCCTCTCCCCTCCTCCCCGCTTTGGGCTGCCCATCCTCCACGGGGACCCCTCGCCGGACCCTCCCCGCAGAYGGAGCGGAGGACGGCGGGGCGTGTGTGCGGGGGCTGCCCCGGCCCCGGGGGTCCCTCCGCTCAGGGCGCCGCAGGAAAGCAAGGAAGGAAGGAGCCTGTCCCCCCCCCGCCCCGACCGCGCTGCCCCTCGCCCACCGCGGCCACTTACTTGAGTCCCAGCCCGTGGAGGTGCTGCCCGATCAGCCGGATCACGTCCTCGTCGGACTGCGAAAGCCGCTTCTTTTTCTTCAAGGCGCTGCCGCCGCCACCGCCCCCCAGCTCGGCGGCGGCCGGGCCGGGCCCCCCGGCGGCGGGCACCCCGTTGTTGACGCCGAGCCCGCCGGGGCTGCCGCCGCCGGGGCCGCCGCTGTTGGCCGAGGGCAGCAGCCCGTTGGCGTGGGCCAGCTGGTCACTGGCGGCCGTGCCCGCCGAGGCCTCGCCGTTCTGGGCGCCCAGGCAGCCCAGCTCCGGGCCCTGCGGCGGCGGCTGCTGCTGCTGCTGGCCCCCTCCCGCCCCGTTGGCCTGCATGGCGCTGCTGGCGATGCCGCCGCTGCTGCTGCTGCCTCTGAGCGGGGCGGCGGCGGGGGCGAGCCCGGCGGGCAGCGAGGGGGACTGGGACGAGGTGAGGCCTGCTCTGCCCGCGGAAGCCCCGGGCTCTCCTGCTCCCTCCACCGCCGCCGCCGGGGAGGCCCGGGCTTTCTTCCGCGGGGGCGGGGAGGCTCCGCCGGTGTCCGAGTCGGAGGAGGAGGAAGCGGAGGCCAGAGTTTCCTCGCCGAGAGCGGCCGTGGTGGGAAGCCGGGGGGGCGAGGAGGGGAAGGCGGCGGGGGCGAGGGGAGGCGGAGCGGGGCCTTGCGCCCGCCGGGGGTCCCGGAGGCAGCGCCGCCGCCCGCTCGGGGCTCCCTCTGGCGATGGCGGCCGCCGCTGCCCTGAGCCCCCGCCCGGCAGCCCCAGGCGCCCGGCCCGCTCCGCTCGCTGCCCGCCGGGTTTGTCTCCTCTCAGCCCAGCTGCACCTAATGGAGTCCGGGCCGGGACGTCACAGGAAATTCCTGCACTGCCCCCTACACACACTTCCGCCGTCCGGGGCCGCGGTGGGCATGGCCCCACGGCTGCCGGGGGGCGGCGGCGGGGCGGCCCCCGGGGGGGACCGGGACGCCCCAACGGCAGCGCCGGGGTGGCCGCCCGCCCGCGCGGGGTCCCGCGGCACCTGCGGGGGCTCAGGGCGTCGTGCCCGAGGGGGTCCCGGGGGTCCCGGGCATGTGCCCGGTGTGTGCCCGCGCCTGGCAGCCCTGGGGCGGGACAGGGACCAGGGTGGTCCCGCTCCAAGTGCGGTGGGTGCCCGCTGGCCCGAGGTGTCCCASTGGGACCRGCTGTCCCCGTGACACCTTGGAGRTGACCGGGTAATTTCCAGCCTCAGGTAGTTACCTGATGCAATTTGGACCAGGAGAAATGGGTGCAAACGGAAAGAGGGGAAATTTGCGTTGGGTGTTTGGAAGAAATTCTTTACTGTGGGAGTGGTGAAACGCTGGAACACATTGCCCAGGGGAGGCTTGGATGCCCCAACCACGGTGGTGCTCAGAGCCAGATTGGACGGGGCTTTGAGCAACCTGGTCTAGTGGAAAGTGTCCCAGCCCATGCCAGGAGGTTTGGAATGAGATGGTCMTTAAGGTCCCTTTCAACCTCGATTCTGCGATTCTGTGTTTTGGGTTTTTTAAAATGGAAAGTGCTCAATGAAGTCACATCCTGGTGTTGCCCAGGTTGGTTGCTGGACGATTTCAGACCTGCTGCTGGTTTTGTCTTTTCTAGTCACTGTGTGCATTGGCACAGAAAACAGATATGGTGGTTTTACTGTAGCTCTTAAAGGAATGTTGAGAGTTGGAACACRTTTGTCAGGACAGGCTTTCGGAAGACACTGGCACTTCTAAGGGTCRCAGCCTCTGCCCTATAGTGTCTCCCTGCTAACCTTCCTGTGTGATCTAAAACAAACTCAAACCCTGAGCCAGGTCTCTGGTAAAGTCATGAGATGAGTGAAATCTTGGTCTTTAAAAATAGCATTGAAATAATACGTTTTATATTATTTGGTTTRGAGCCTAGAATTTTTACTTTGGTATGCTCAAACTTTTCTCCAAAACCCAAAGGGAMATAACAAAACTCTTTTTTCTATAATGAAAGCTGAGGTTAATATCTAATCATCTTCCCCTTCAGAAGCTGAGGTTTTAGGAGTACTGACTTAGGTTAAGCTATTAAGTTTGAACAATAGTGCTTTCTTTTGAGTGGAACATTGAAGAAGTCCAGCTGAGGAAAACCACAGGCCCAAGACTAGTGGAGAAAACTCCAAAATGCATACAAGAAATGAGATCAGAGAAGGAGATGAGACCTCATGGAGACCTAGCTAACTGAAGTAGGTATCTTGGTCCTTTTTGAAGGCTCTTTTTTAAAGAAGATAGTTGGCTGATAACAGCTAAAGCACTCTTACGSCAGAGGGAGAGGTTGGAAAGAGCTCTGCCCAGGTATGGCTGTAGGGTTAAATTTAACATTGGTCTTCCAGAGAGGGGAATGTTGATGTTGTGTTTTTAGCTCACCAGCCATTGCTGGAGAACACAAGGCTTGTGTTTTAGCCACTTCACTGCTATTTATACTCTCATTTCCATTGTTCTGCGTTTTCGGCATTCTTGAATTCTTTCTTGGTCCTCCCCTAGATTCCATCACTGAATCTGTAATTAAAAGACTTGGGTGAAGATGGCAGGAACAGTGCAGAGAGCAGTGCAGACCCTGTGAAAGCCCCTGAAAATGAACTTCAAAGATCAAGGCTAGGTTTTCAGGAAGGTAAAGTTGCTCATCATTCTTTCCTGCCCCACACCTCAGTGTCCAGGGGTGGGGGAYGGTAAAAACCCCTTCCCAACTTCTTCTCCTGTCCTCCTTTGTCACCTCTGGCTTTCTGAGTCATAGAGATGGTTTTCACTTCTCCTAGGCTTTTCCTAGTCACCAGGAGGGTATCTTGGGACACAGGTCTGGGGCAGTCACAGGAAAAAGAGAATTGTGAAAGGGGTAATGGCACCATGCTTTGTCAGTTTTTCATCAGCTAAGCCCTGATTTGGATCTGATTCTATTCTGCACCCAGATGAGAGAGGGMAGATTTAATAATCCAAATAAGTGTGCAGCTTTTTGAGCAATTAGAGAATCAACTGGTATAAAACACATCTCACTTGTGACAAATGACTCCATTATAACAAAAGTATGCATTCATCATAATCAGGCAACTTCAGTTTCCCAAAAGTAGAGAATTAAAGCAACAATTCAGCTATAAAAAATGACAAAATTGTAAACACCCGGAAGAGGAATTTTGAAGAGAAATTTTGACAACCTTAAATACAGTTGTAATATCAACCATGTTACTGAAGCAGAAGTGTGATACATAACTGWGCAGAAGGTGTACAATTCTGACTAAATTGTAGTTCAAAATACTTCCTATTGTATAGACCCACACCATTAACAGAAAAATGTTGCAGAAACACTTCTTAGTTATTGGACAGTTCAGAAAACTGAAGAGACAACCACTCCTTGTCAAAAACAACCAACAAAATGGCCRATGTAGAAAACGTTGAAAAAGTGGTATCTAAGTGTAAGCAAACTGTCTTGGGATATTCTAGACTAAAATCAAATTCTTGAAAAGGAAGAAACACTTTCATTTTATAGGTATGGAAAATTAAAAAAAAAAAGAAAAAAAGGACCCTAGAATTTATCATTTATAGGCTGACTAGAACTAATAAAACTTGGGCTAATTTAGCTCTCTATTTTTTTTTTAATTCCCCTCCCCCCCATCATTTGCTTTATTGGAGGATGGAACGCATAGTCCATATCTGAATAATAGGAAGGAACTCTCATTAAGGGTCTGGGTTATTTGATAATAAACATGTGAGGCTGCTTTGGCAGAGCTGTAATATTACAAAATAGTGGAGCAAATCCTTGAGAGATGGCTTAGCAGTCAAAGCTGCATGATGAAGGTAATTAATTGTTTGATTCCCTATCAGGTGGGCRTGCTTTTCTTCTGCACCAAATCTGAGGTTACTGGAAACAAACCAACTAACAACAAAGAACAAAGGAAGAAAGAATAATTTAGAACAATGGCATTTTCCACAGTACCAGCTAAATAAATGCTTGAACAGGCACCTGGATATGCTTGTAACTTCCAAAAAGTGAGATAAGGATGGAAGATAAGCACCTTCCTTAAAGAGCATTTCTAGAAATCATTCAACAGATAGTAAGCAAATTACACTGGTCTGAGATTCCATCACTTCATGCAGAGGAGGATGGTCACTATTTTAGTAGAGGAGTGGAATATGGAAAGCTAAAACTTGGCTGGAGTTGCAGCTGAAAGACAATGTCGAGGCAACAAAAAGGGCTTCTGCAGGTGAATTGTCAGCAAAAGGAAGACAAGGGAAAGTGTGAGCCTGCTGCAGAACTGCGTGGTTGAACTGGCCATAAAGGTCAAGGAGAAGGAAAAGATTGCGATACTCAAGGCCTCTTTCACCTTGAACTTGACTGGGAAAAAAACCTTCCCCATCTCCCAAGCTTCTGTGGCTGATAGAAAGCTTTGGGCAGAGGAGGGAAACTACACAGAAAATCCATTCTGTCAAACTGGGCTTATACAAGCCCATTGGAGCTGATGGCACTCATTTGAGTGTTGAGGGAGGTGGCCAGTTTTATTTTATGCTCACACCCTATGACATTTGAAAGGCCATGGCATTTAGAAAACTGCAGGTGACCAAACAAAGGCAAATGTTACACATTTAAGTTCAGTTGTGTCTGACCCAATGTCACTGACTTTGAGCTTAATGAGCAAGGGGAAATCAGAGCAACTTAAGCTCATCTGTATTAGGACTTTTGGTAGATTTTCTCAATGACCTTATAACCAGGAAGATGTGGGTGGTGTGGGCAAACTACGTGTGTGAAAAACTGGCTGTATAAGCAGGCTTGAAGGGCAGTGTATCACTGGCTTGAAGTCTTGACTGATGCCCAGTTAGGAGGGATCAGGGATCGATACTGGGACAAGTCTTGTTTGACATGTTCACTGCACAGGGGGTGGTACAGAATGCASCCTCAGCAAGTTTTCAGCTGATCCCTGTGCCAAGCTGGGGAGAGCAGTTGATACACAGGAGGCCACGGCTGCCAGTCTGCTTCAGCTTGCCAAGCTGCAGGAAGGGGCCAGTGAGAACCTTGTGTTGGTCAACAGAGACAAGGGCAAAGTCCCAAATGTGGGACAGACTATCCTCATAGGACGCTACAGGCTGAGAACCAGCTGGCTTAGAAGAAGCCCAGCAGACAGGGACCTGGCCATCCTGGTGGACAAAAGAAGTTCCTCATGGGATTTCAACACCAGCAGGGCTGCATTTTCCATATACCCGGCAGGTACGAGCTCTGTGYGCAGCACTGGTGAGGCCACACTGGACAGACACTGTCCAGCTGCGAACAGCCAGCTCAGGGTTGGGGTGGTAGGGACTGGAGCACGTGTTGTGTGAGGAAGTGGGTTTGGCCACACCAGCAGCTAATTACAATGTGCACCTTCCCAGAGGGAATTATAGGGAAGGTGGCACAAGRCTTCTTTCTGAGATGTGCGCCAACAGGGTGAGAGACAAAAGTGAGAAGTTGCACCCACAAATATTCCAATTGTGTATAAGARAACAAAAGTTCAAAATGAGAGCGGWCAAGTAACAGTACACTTTCCMGGAGTGGCTGTGGGCTTTCCGTCCATGGAGATAAAACTAGACAGGATGAGGCTTTGAGCAACCTAGTTTATCTTTGAAGATAGCCATGGAGGGAGGAGGAGATTGAACCAATGACCTGCAAAGTACCTCGCCCAACTTTAATTTTGCTGTGATTATACTTTCTACGAGAATATCCCTGTGTTATGGGGGGAATAATATTGGTGACTTGATAATTGTCATGTCTCAGGGGTTACTCATATTATGTCCCAAAGCTTCAGTTCAGSCATCAAGTTGCTTTGTAGCTGAGCTTGTG